TGTCCACAGAAAAAAAATTTAAAATATAAAATCGATAATTTTTTTTTGTTTCCTTTCATTCCTTGATGGGGCGGAAAGCTACAGGAGCCCGGAGCGCGCAATCTTAAAATACGCCCCTGTTTATATCGCGTTACGGATTTCAAATAAATAGGTATACAATAGTGTTATTAGACTTATTAACGCATACCTTATCTTTCCTTTACTTGTGAACCTTTAAATTATATAAACTGTTAAATAAATGACTAGGTTCTTGCCCGCGACTTCGTCCGCGTGGTAAAGTTACTTTGAGCAGCATTTCTAACGAATATTTATTCATTATATCGTGTATAAGTACCTGAAATTAAGTTATAACATCCACGATTTTATCCCCTTGGGGGTAGAATTGTATCAAAATCCTTTCTTAGGGGATGCCTACGTCATAGTAGCTTTGTGCATGCAAAGTCTCCGCCCGATCGGTTTAAAATTGACAAAGTTTCATACAAACTTTCATCCCCTATTTTATCCCCTTGGGGGTAGAATTTATCAAAATCCTTTCTTAGCGGATGCCTACGTCATAACATCTACCTGCATGCCAAATGTCAGCCCGATCCGTCCAGTGGTGTGAGCTGTGCGTTGATAGATCACTATGTCAGTCAGTCACCTTTGAGTTATATATATTTAGATTAGATCCGCTCCACTACGTTTTTAAACATAGTGTCTTTTTGTAAAATTCACAGACATATCCATTTTACAGCCTGTAATTTTGATATTTATCACCACCACCACAAACTGAACACTGTCCAGTTAAATATTTATTCTCCATTAGCGATTGAACGATGAGGCCGCCATTTGTATTTACTTCTAAAGCAATTTCGGATATACAAATTATATTCGATATGCAACAATTTTGTTTCAGTTATGGCTGACAAAATTAGCCAATTGCAAAATAATTATTCTATTAAAAAACCGACCAGCCGGACTCTAGCAACGAAAATTTAAAATATCTTAATAATTCCTTATAACTTTTGCTATAACTATTCTATAGATAAATTAAATATAGTGTAATATCTATTTAAGTTACTTATTTTTCGTGACCTTCATGTTTAAAAGGATGAGGGTCCATGAGGGTCCTTTTCAGCCCTGAAAATTAGTTAAATTTCATTTGATCGCGAAGTTTGCAAATTTTGCCTTTTTCCTAAAATTCACCCCTAACAAACACTAAGCAACTTTTCATAGTATCGCATAGATATAATATAATGCAAAACTATGATATGCTTTATTACATGGGAAGTAGCCATGTGACAGTATTATTGTAAGAATTTCTTTTAATAGTGACATATCAAATTTTTTATGCCGCGGTCAAATAATGGTTAGTAAGAATGACTCACGTTCACTTTTGTCAGTTAACGTGATAAGTCACAAGTTTGACCTCGGAGCTGACCGCTGACCGCTGAGCGCGATGTTGGAGATCGAAAGTGGACGCATCGTGACTCTGGAACAGCAGCGAAACAGGTGGTCTCTGACTTGAAGTTCGTAACAATTGTATGGGTACTTTATAGACATAGAACAACATAGCCTAAGGATACTCGATGGAGCAGAAAGTTTTTGTAACTGTAGCTATATATCATACATATGATTAGGTAATGATTTCCTTACTTCATATTTTTTTTATTAACAATTAAAAAAATATATTTACTTTTATTAGTTTCATCATTTTTAATGTATCTATAAACTTTGAACGCTTCTATAAAAATTTAAAAATATATAACATTATAATTATCATCATACGATTTATATAAAAAAAACTTTTAAAATAAAAAGTGTTTTCACTGTAGTTAACTATAATATCCAAGAGTAACGTATAATGGAATATCTACCGGGCCATTTTTGAGACCGTGATACATCGATGTCTCGCTTTCGCTGCGCAGGCGACAGAGGTTCGTGTCGATCGTAAATCATGCTTCGTTACAAATTTGGTGTATTTCACGGCAGTACCACGGTGACGATGAGGATTTGGTATGCACCATTCTGAATCACGACTTTCCAACGAGGGAATGTGGTGTTATCGAGGCTACATTACAACCTCAAAAGCCAGTTGCGTTGGGATTTTTAAATAATTATATTCCACTAAATCAGTAGCCTGTCCACCACGTTTGTGTAGTTTTTTAAACATACTTAAAATACTTTCTCAGCAATGATTAGAATCAAAGCGACACCAGTGAACAAGGACTTTTATGTATCGGAATTTTGAGTATTTAGGCAAAGAACTCATGAGAACTCATGACTTTTACACAGTCATAGTGTAACAACATTGAATGAGTAAAATAATGGGAAATTCGTGGATATTAATGATCTTTTAGGACTTTATAAACTTGGCTTATTAACCTAGAGCTGCATCTTCAAACTCACCAAGACATATCGGTCATTTCTAAATCAACAAATTTACCCCATCCGGAACAAAACAGTTATAATCGTGTCCGCTAAAAGTATAATTGCAGATAAAATGCCGAGCAAAACTTTAGTATATATCTGTCGACGCACTGGCAATCCCATAGCCCCAAGGAGTTCTGCCACAACCCTTGTTAGTTGCCCGGAGGTCTTCCATCGTATAAATATCACTGCCGCATTGAGGGCCAGCAGAAAGAAACCAGTCGTACTGATGTAAACCTGCACAGTAGGGAGATAAGAGGCTGGTTAAAATGTTGCGTCGATTGCATCGATGTAAGCATAGTGACCGACGATTAATTCTTAGTGTAATTTAATTGAAATTTGAAAATTGGGCTGTTCACGTATAATATTGTAAATAAACATGCTCTATCTGAAGAGAATACGGTAAACGAGCCATAGACAAACACAAGATGTTTTCCCGTGACTTTGTATGATGTTCCATCCCCTAGGTAAAAGAACTTTGGTCTCGACTGCAATTGCTAACACCCACCACTGCATTGGGCCCGAGATCTGTTCGATTTGAATTCATCCATAAGAAAGACCTGTACTCAGCAGTGGGGATATCACTAGGCTGATATAGAGAGGCAATTCCTAGTTTATCGAAAGTATCAAAATAACAGTATACAAAATCGAGACAAATAATGACGTGTGATTATCCATACAAATGGCTACGATAATGAGTGGATGCATCACTGCGCATGCGCTGGTAATGTTTATTTGAGCGGAATAATCTGTACGAGTGCTAATACAGGTAATGTAATTTTATTAATCAGTCTGAATGTATGATTGTGTGGAGTCGACTGAGATAACTAAATGATGAAGACGATGGTAATATTGTTATTATATTTCTTAAGGCCGAGCGTAAATACTAAGAGTAAACGGGACGAAATGATAGTGTTGTGCGGCAAAAATATTTTTAAATTAATTACACGTAAACTAATAATGTAAAAATGTTTTGAATAGTTCTCGATTACAAAGTGACGTACATATTTATCAAAATTGATATAACTAATTATGACCAGTATAATTAAGAGAAGATTTGGATAAAATATTTTTGTTTAGAGAGAATTTTATAAATTCATCTTTCGTTTATGCCAAAACCGTTTAAAGTATGATATCTTTTTCTGATTTATATTATCTTAATCCGATTGTAATATTAACTTACGCCTTCCACGATACAAAAATTAGATACAAAACTTCATTTCTTAAAGAGTTATAATAAAATAAACTAATTATACTTACCTCAAAAATATTGGCCGCATCATACTGGGTAGCAGTCTTCAATGTGAGTCCTAGCATAGACATAGTATAAGTGACTATTACCCCGCCAGATACAGTCTGCTCCCACCGAAACGTCCTCAATGACCTCACGTGGATTGTCAAGTGCGCCACTAGCACGCCCACCGCCGCCAACCGGAGTATCAGCAACGAAAACTGGGTATTACGAAGTATAAAATTATAAGAAGCTCGGTGGCCCAGAAATTAGAGCATTCGGCCTGCAATCAAGAAGGTAGAGCAAGACTCGCAAAGGTCGACCATCAGGTTACCAAAAAAATAATTCTGCTTATCTTAAAGACCGACACATTTTCGTGTATCCTATAAAAACTGATACATCTTCAAAATATCAATATGATTTTTTTTTATTATAAATACTATGTTTCCGAACGTGATAGAATTCCATAAAAACTATGTTTCCTACTTGTATCAGACTATCTCTACTATAGTTCGTATCAAGTAGAGTATTTATGTCTAATTAAAAAAAATCTAGCTCAAGTTGTATTGGTTATCACAATGCACAGAATTATCTTAAGTTGTGCCATGAAGACAACTTTAAATTTTTGATACCATATGCATTTGCACTCGTTAACACCCTCTATGTTATTTCTAAGATTCTATTCACAGGACAGGAGCGTCCCAGTAGTGTAGACCTAAGGAAAATTGGGTTCTATTTGTGCAGATGATTCTCGTCTCATAAAAACACCACATTAAAAAACACACAAATGATAAATTTTTCTAAAAATATTCCATAATGTTTGCAATGATATGTCTTTCGGCTAAAATTTAAGGTGGGGAAACAATAGGTATTATTTTTGCATTGGTAAGTAGTCTGATAGGCTGATACTGAAATCATTGACTCATGATCTTTATTTATAAGTTTATGTTATAATTTGCAACCTGCACTGTCTGACTGTCGACCTTATCCAAGTTCCTTATTATTCTTTTCATTTGGAGTCATCAATTGTAAACGTTATCCACCTGAGATATATAACGAGTAATCCATAGTTAGTTCTGTGTTTACTACGTTTCTTAAGGTTAATTAAAACTCTATTTTATAAATTAATTTCTCTACTTTTCAGTAGCGTTACTGTAAAGAGTAAAGTGTATATGCAAAGAGCAAAAGTATATATTAAGGAATATATATGCATGACAATTACCAACTCAAAATTGTTGGTACAATTAATTACCTCTATGGACTTGAGACATCGTTGATCCCTTGACCTTGGACTTGACTAACAAGAAACATACAACATTATTAACATAAATCTATGGTTAGCTCTAACGACTGCACGATTATGTACATAAATCTGGATCCCAAACGCATATTTATTGCTGTTCTATTAGCTTTCAACTGCGGTAGAAACATGGGTAATATGAAAAAAAAGGGAAAGACAACTATAAAATACTCATTAATCTAAGCTCACAACTAAAAAAGTAAAATTAAAATCTCAATATTTTTGTAAAGAAAATTTCAAATCATATCACTAACAGATGATAATGGATAATTACAAACAAATACAAACCCACTATAAAGATTAATTAAAGCAAAAGATCTTATAAATCAGTATTATGATAAAATACGTTTATTCTGTCGCAGGTTACGCATCAGCAACATGCGGGTTTCCCGGAGCTCCGGCGCATTGCAAGGTTTCCTTCTCGGAAGAGGAACCGCGCGAAGGCACCGTAGTCACATACAGCTGCGAGCCAGGGTTCGAACTGTTGGGGCCAGCCAGGAGGGTCTGCGGTCCCAACAGCCGGTGGACACCAGATGGCATACCGTTTTGTGGTGAGCGATGCAGTTGATACACATTCTTATTAGGGTACCGTAGATCAAACAGTAAAAACCGGCCAAGAACCAGTCAGACTGTGGACGGAAACAGATTTTTTTTTGTGTTAATTAATAAATAAATATAAAACAACAAGCATCATTGATCTGATTTAAAATTAAGTAACGAACTGTAATAAGTGTGTATTATAGGAATCTCAAACAAAGAGGGTAACACAACACCCGGAGCCAAAGCAACATATAAATTTCATTAAGAATAAAGAAACAGTTAATTTCCTACTTTGATCCGACCGAGAATCGCATCTGACTCAGAGATGGCTACACCTTGAGACTGAAATGTGACCCACACGGCTACGGAGGTAGTCATTAATGATAATGACAAACTAGGAAAGCTTTTCCGTGAATATGTAACAGCACCATTTAATCGATCGAGTTACGCTTATACATTTGAAACTTCCTGTTCCACAAACTGTCATAAAACGATAATTTCTACGACGCACACAAAGTGGACAGACAGACGGACTATAGTAACAGAGCTCGCATTCACATCTGACGTGATGGCAGCCATTACATGAGCACTCGCATATCACGGGAAGGAAGCAACTCTTATATCCGGGTAGGCATCTTGTATAATGAATGATTAACGAAAAGATATATCCCGAGGACGCAACAGAGTTAATTAATTTAGTGACTTCTTCTTCTCTTTAAATGCTAATTTAATTAAAAACAAATACTTATGTAACAAATTAATTTTATTGAATCTAAAATGACAATCTTTCTGCAAACGATCTGAAACCTTTAAAAATATATCTCGTACAGTAATACGCGCTTTAATAAATTAGATAGCATTAGTAGTTTGCGGGAAAATTACGATCATACAATTAAAATTAAAGTCTATACTCTTAATATATCATTAAGATTACTGTCCTTTACCTTTTGTCTATTTAAAAATGGTCATATTATGAATCACAACTTTCTTTCCTCGAAAAGTATATATTTGTCACACGTAGCCAAAAGATGATCTAACTGTTGACTGGTTGTATTTAAAGGTAAGTAGGTAGTTTGGAAAGTCGAGATGATTCATGTGTATCTGAAACTTTTTTCGCATAATAGCCTTATGTGGTTAATTTATATTAAAAGTTATAACTGCACATACTGCGAACGTAGTTCTAGAAGAAACAGTATAAAATACAAAAATATTTTTAAGTTTTTTGCTAAGTTTTATAGTCAAGAGTTAACTATACTAATATTATAAAGAAAAAAGATTTGACAGTTTGTTTTTATAAGAATGGGGTCCTAAGCTACTCAACTGATTCCAAAAATTCTTTAATTTTTCTCCACTTTCACGTGAAGTTTCATCATACATGGGTCACGTAGGCTATAATTTACGCGACCGAAATCGAAAAACGTATATTAAAAACTATAACTATCAGAAATAATAGAATACTATCGAATCATTAAACGGATATTCTAATATCGAGTTAATATCAGAAAAGTTTGTTTTACTAAGTACATTAAGCGTCCTTAGAGATAGCGTCGTGCGCAGTCCGGTCAGCCGGCCCCGGCGGATCGGGCGGGCCGATTACGGACCGCCCCAGTTACGGCAATGACACCTGTGGCGGCTAATGGCATACCTACAATTTTACCAGTACATCAACTTTGTTAACCTATCACAATACCTTTGATCCGTACATATCAGGTATCTGTATTCCTCGATGGCGCGGTAGTTAGCGCGTTTGGTCTGCGACCCGGAAGTTAAGCAACTGTCGCAAAGGCCAATCATGGGATGGGCGACCAAAAATTGATTAGGCTGATGATGATGATTATACTTGGACTGTTACTTTGATCCAAAAATAATAACTGGGTCGAGAATATTGCGGCAATGACACCTGTACGATCATTAGCCTACTTAAAATCTTGTCAGTACATCAATTTTGCCTAATACGTATGTAACATACATGCCTTTGATCCAAAACTATAACAAGGCAGAGTCTGCAATGACACCTGCTTTGTAAATATGTAAAAATGCAGATCCGAACAAAAATACATCAACAAAAAACTTTTATAATCAGTTAAAATGTAAAGCCCGTTTACAACATAGCTATAATGATAAACTAAAACTTTGAAAGGTTGTACAACTAATGTGTACTAGTGGCAACATAAGTTCAATCGGAAAGATTTGTCGGAGATGCCTCCTAACATAGGTCGCTGGTTCATCCGGCTCGAAAGACTTTGACCCAACTAATATTAAAAGATAGTTAGTTAGGTTAGGTAGGTGAAGATAGTTAGATAGTAAGTTAGGTATTGACACGAGTGATGTATTCAGTAGTTTTATTGTCATTGATTCAATATATTTATAAATATTATTTGAAGGCCGGTTGAGGTTCAACAATGGTTTAACGTTAAAGACCTAGCACCTATTTACTTCTTCAATTTGGTGTCAACTTAAAATTCGTTCAACTTTGTATTAAACTATTGAACCATCTTATCATACGAGGGTTAATTAAATAGCAGACAGAAGCAGAAGGCAATGCGCGAAATGGAGTCTAATCTTGCACGGTTCACCTCAAATTCGACCCACTTGCGGAAAACCCTCCGTGGATAGGGAGTTACTCTCAGAAACACTTTAGTCTTATCTTCCAAACAGAACAAGGATGTGCAATTCCCGGTCCGCGCGCAAATTTCCGGGCTGTCCCAGTTCCGGAGCACAAATAAAAACAGTTTTAAAAACCTATCAAAAGCTTGCTTGTATAGATTCTTATTAACTCAACATAACAAATACAAACTGATACATTAAATTTCTTTACGCACAGGAAATCAGGTAATACCAGTAAATATTAATAAAACAGACTAGATATATGCGTACAATTATCATGGAATTTAAGAATTCTGAAGTGTCATTCTGATAAAGCGCTTGAATTAATCATGGGAAAAGTGAAATGGATGAAATAGGTATGTCAGCGTTCAGAAAAAAAAATTATTATAGGTGAACGGATGTTGTAAACGATTTTTTTAAATAGTAATAATCGTTGAGTGCCTCTTGAGTAAACGTTATTAAATACTATCTAAACGAAATAGATGTACTTAAGTATAATAATGTAGTAGACCCGAAACAAAAAGATTTGAATAAAAATAGTGAAGATCAACACCTATCCCCAAACTTTTAGTCCGATGATAAGATAAATAAGTTTTCAGTTTAGAATAAACATGTAATAGTGAAATTCACAGTGAAAATTATCATACTGGCAAATTATTCAACTATAACATCGGTTATTATAATAACAGAATAATTAAATAGAACCTATATTATAGTGACCGACATTTTGTTCCGTTATCGTCCGTAGGCAGCGAGGCAACATGTACCACGATGCCATCGGTTGCCAACAGAGCACCTGTTTTCATTTATAGAAAGCCTCATAGTTATAATACGCGACGCGTCATCGTTTTGAAAATATTTCCTCATGATTCCTGACTCAGATAAATGTGAAGAATCATGTCTTTGATCTAACTAAAAATATACTAACGCGTCTAGTGATATGATGATATATATCAAAATGTAGCTTATTTTTTACTTATTTCATATTAGGAAATTAAATCTTAAAATAAAGTGACGATAAAAATTGCGAGGTTTTTAATTATTTTTAAATAGTACTATGATAACTTCCCGATGCGTTTCGGACCCTTAGTTGCCCGTGTACTACATTACCTCAATGCGATTTATGAGTCAAACTTTAATATAATAAGCTTTGATTTCAACGCATTAATTTTTAAAGTATCTTCACAATTATCTCGAGTTTCGACAGCTGTTTGAACTACAAATTACGAATCGCCCTGGCCTCCAGATAGAAAGATGCTAAGATTTATTATTATATTTTAAACAAAACTAATTCAAATTATCTCTAACGGTGGGTAGACGCAACATTTATAAAAAACATGTGACAGGTCAATAAATGTATGGAAAGTGGCCATGATGGTTTGTTTCAGCGATAGAAAAAGTTTACATAGCTAAACTGTGACAATATATTTTATATATCTTATAAAAAAGTGGAGCACTATCTGACACTTTTGATAATTTTTAAGCGTTTTCCTATAGCAACTGCAAAGAAAATTAACTTTAACCTACAACTTATAGGTATACAATGGAGTATGTCCGATATTTTGGAACTTCTGGCCACCTTACCAGTTAGCAATGATTTGAGGAATATTTTTATCTATAATAATATAGTTTTAGCGTTAGCTTATATAAGTAGTTTAATATTTTGTAAATATTTTTAAAGTCCTATATAAATGAGCCACTGAAATCAATAACAAACTATGTTAAGGACCCTACAGGTTATATGTAGACAATAATAAATAAAATCTATTGCAATTACACTTTGTAACATATCAACAAAAAATGCGTTCCTTGTGAGAAATGTAATTTTTTCGAACTTAAACGAATATACACCATTTTCCCTTCTACTTAGGAGTGCTATTCTGATTTAAATACAGTCTAGAATTCGCCTACGATCACACGTTATCCGGTAAATCATACTTGAAAAGATAATAAAGGTTTTATTTCATTGGAACTCTATCTTTAATAAACGAGCAATACGTGATATAATATATACATAAACTGTATATCCGAAACGGCTCTAATGAGTTTCATGAAATTTAGTTTAAAGGGATTTAGGTAGCGATAAATCGAACGAATCTTTTACCAAAAAAAATACAGAGAAAATCTCTGTTATCAAGATACGCAGTTTTTAAAAGAATATCAAGCATAGCTGTTATATTAATATTAGAAAATGCAATAAGTTGATTTTTAAATACCTTAAAGAATAAATGAATTTACATAAATGTATCGAAAGATACAATATCGATACAGTAAGGGCGGGTGAGATCATGAGAGCCACCAACAATGACGCCCGTCGATTAGTCTCGTGTGAAACGTTTTCTAGAAGAAAGTAAAAGTCGGTCAAAGCGCGCGTGCGCACCATCTCTTTTTTACCACCGATTTCCCAGGGCTAGAACAACCATTTCCATTTTCAAATAAAGTAAGAACAACCAATAAGCAATTTTAAAGAGCAGCAGAAGATCGTATACTGATTAAGAGCCGACAAGATATTGTTATTTTAAAATATACTTATAAAATGGTTGACCAAAATACTATCATAGGTACTAAATTTGTTACATTACATAAAATAACATTAAAAAAAGCAAAATGACTTCAAAGAACGTTAAGTCACTTTATTTTTACAAATCATTATGTTTGGGTAGGTATAAAATAAAATAAATTTAAATGTGTTTTGTTGAATACATAAATAGATGTTACATGAGACCATTATCAATGGAGCCAATTATATGTGTTAAGCCAACAAAAAAAAAGCCTTATAAAATGTTTCAAATCGTTATAAATTTTGGAATTCCAATTAATTTTCTATTTTTGTTTCTAAACGTCTCCAATTTTTGTTTATCTTAATTACTCGTATATATTCCACCTATTACAATTTGTATCTGATACATAGAAGTTTATAGTTTCTTGATCCCATACGTGTTCTTCTTCTTCTTCAAATTTCATATACTCCTTTCATACATTTTCGTACAAAAAAGCTCCAAAGTTTTAGCTGTAATTTCTGTATTAGAAATTTCTTAAGATTATTTTCTGTTTATTCAAAGAGGACACGCTCGCAGCCTTCTGGGTGCCTTAGTTTTTGTCATAGCATGTAAAAATAGTTTAATATTTAAACTCTAGGTACTCATTGTGTTACTTTATTAATTCATGTTTGCATAAAGGGATTCATAATAATTTATAGTACAGCGAAATCAGTTGTCATGAATCATTTTTATAGTAATTACTGAACACAAAGGCCAGCTTAGAGCTTTCTCTGGTTGTGATGACAAAGTCTTTGAACGGCGCTACTTTCATTTTCGTCTGAAGCCAGCCGGCGAGGCACCTGTGCGTCACAACAATAGAATTTGAGCTGTTTCATTTTCGTTTTGACGGGGACACAAGCGTATTTAATCGTAGATCTATTTGCATAAGGAACTAAAAAACTGGATAAGTGCGAGTCGGGCTTTCGCTCGGGTTAGCGTACAAAAGTTTTTATTTTATTTGTTGTAAAATAGATGTGTTTAAGATGAGAGTGCGATGTAATGTATTGTATATCTAAATATGAAAATAAACTTTAAAATTGATACAGGAGATTCGGTGCTTCGATCCTCACAAACAAATAATCAAATTAGTGTAGAAAACAATCCCTCATAAGTCATAACTATAAAAATAAGAAAAAAATACCACAGTGTATTTATATGTCGAAATCCAAGGAAAATTCATTTTGAGAGAAAAATTGGAAAATGCAGAAGGAACCTCGTAGTACATACAATATCTTTCATCTTTTTTTTTGACATTTTGGCACATTTTTGTCCACACATTTGTCCATAACCTTCTTGGTCTAATGACACTTTTGCTTGCTATATATTATGAAATAGTTCATGTCACCCGCGTATGATGAAGCTTTCTATAAGTGAAAGAACTACAACCCTACAAACATAGAATTTACCTCATTATAACATCATTATACTATTAGCCATTTTATTGCCATCTTGGATTAGAGACACATCTGATTAACTATGTAATTGCATCATCACAGAACTAAAAGGTGTATTCTAAATTTTATCTCAATCGGACACTGGAAAATGAATGGATTTCATCTACACTGACACAACTCTTAAATAATCTCATGTTAAAAAAAGTAGAAATCATTATGTTGTACCCTAAAAACGAACAAGCTAGTGCTGATGACAAACGCTTTGTTATTCAATATGATGTGGTTGAATTGAATAGCTAACCTGCTTTGTTAGCGACGCTTAGATTTATTATAATGAACGGTGCACGCTTATAGAACACAACGCCACCCAACGCGATAACAGAGGTCAGAGATAAGAAAGAGGATAAATCTTGTAGGTGTTTAAAAGAGGAATCATAAATAGGAAAAATTTGAGTGTTTACATTAAATAGGCACCGAAACCAATGGATTGATTTAAAAAAATCATTCTCATTCGGGTGCTACATAGTCTACAATTCACGTGTGTGAAGTCATGTTAAAATGAGTTGGTATACGTTATTTAGAAATGTAGTAGGATTGTATGAATGTATGGAGACGCTCTGTTATTGTAGCGACCATGTGATGAATTCTGGGGTGGTAATAACAGTGGCATCCTCTCCATCTTCGGCGTCAGCGTCATTCGTGACGCACTGCTGATGTCAGAGAAGTTTTCCCATTGAGCTTCAGGCATAGTTGCGTATTGTAACGTTAAACTGCGAGGGCGGTGGCGGTACTTGTTCACGAGGCATTTGTGCCTCTCTATGTCTTCTATGGTCTTCTTTTCGGTGATCGTGCTAAGGAAGACATCGTCTACTACGTGAGACGTGATTTCGGGTTTCCTACAAAATATAAAATCAAAAAATTTATGTAAGCTAAAGTTCGCTAGGTTCTGACGTTATTTGTGGATATATTTCTATCTTTTAATTTGAAAATTTTTACATTTATCAATAAACCATGATATATTTCATTTATTCTTGCAAATTTTGCTTATTTTCTTTTTTTTTTGCAAATTTTTTAATGGAATGTAGTGGCAAAATAAACTTAAACGACGACAGCTATGCTTTTTTGTTAAAAATATTGTGCAGAATTCAAAGTTCCTTAAAAAAATTATCATAACCAGCGGTCGATATTGCTAAAGTTAAAAGCAAGGCACGCTCGACAAAACTGTCAAATTTATTCAGGTGATTTTAAACCAAAATGCATTAAAACTAGAGATCAAAATCAGTTGAGGAAATTTGGTGACCAACTTGCAGCCGTGTGAACAACAAATTTAACTGGTCGAACTCAAAAATTCTTTCTTGTTGAATATCGCTTACGTAACAACACCGGCTAAGTCAAGAATGACCTAGAATATACCCAACATTGGATAGACTTTTTCACTTCGTATCCAATAATTCATGGCAAGAAGAGTTTTGTACAGGACGCTATAGATCGCTTATCAAGTTTACTTAAATATGTAATACAATAGAAGTAAATTTGATATAATTACAGTATACATGAGTACAACAATATTTCTTTGATAACTATAGAACAATATTAACATAAGCCCAAATTGAAGTTATGATAATTTTTATTTTGGTTTGATTTATTACTTTATATTAGGTGTATCTTATCCATTATCATCGAAGTGTCGAAATGCGTAAGTGTATCTTTAAATCGTCAATCTGTTACGGCGTCCGTTCATAGATTTGTATTCACCACAGGTTTTCGTGGAACTGCAACGAGGCCAGTTCTACCTACATTGACCGTTCGAAAACGTTGGTATTGTTTGACGAAATACCAAACGGTCACTATGTGGTCAAGATGACCAAAGGGGCCCAACTTTGGTCAGTACTATTCTAGTTAAATAACAGCGCTGTTAATTTTTATAGTCGTTTTAAAATTCCTCAATAATTTTATTAGCTAACACATAGCAATAACGAGGCTTTTCTAAAAATAATTAACACTTAATTTCCAATAATAAAAAGCGCGAGAAAAACCCATCCTTTCATGAATTGACATTTTGTGGCTGTCGGACTGAATCCACGCATCGCCTACCTAAGACATTAGAGAGGAACATCGGTGAGTGTAGAGAGTATGCCCCTGCTATTTGACTAGCCCCCCATTGGGGACGGGTCCGCAGGGGAGAGCCCTACATAACCTCGCTGACCCACGCTAATGGAAGCGAAGGTATGCCGCAATGCATTTCCCTTCGTCAAATAAAGTAAGTGCCGTGTTCTTAAAGTCTTGAAGCAATAAATCGTAGGATAACGCTATATCTCTATCTATGTCTATACGCATTGCGGGGTAGGCAAAGAGGACCGAACGCCACAAAGTACGGCACTTATATATATATTTCGCCTCATCCACTTTCATCGCTCATTCTAACAGCACGCGATTGATTTTATCGTGAAAGGTGTGTCGTGGCCTTCCCTGGCTTCTGTATCCTTCTACTTTAGCGTTGTATATCAGTTTTGTCTTTCTTTCATCCTATATTCTTTTACATAACCGTACCAACGAAGCATGTTTCTGTTGATTTTATACCCCCATATTATTAATATAAAATTATTGTATTTATAATGATCATGTTTGGTTTAAGTGTCTTCCATGCGATTTTAAATCAGTATTCTAAGAAATACGACCTTGTTGGTGACTTTATATGTTCGAATTTGGTTTATAACTGCCGTCTAAACAGTTGGCAAGAAGCAAGGTCACTTCTGACTGAACACTAGTTTACAACTGTGTGGATCACACTTTAGCGACGTCGACTATCAGGTGTGTTGTAGGCACGGCCCGTTACAACTGGCACACTTGAGATCGTGCCGTTATTTGTAGGGCTGCCTACGATGTGACGTCACAGATGAAAAATATTTTTGTTTCGTTTTTATTTATCAACTACAATTATTTATTATGATATATTTTGTATCAGTTCTCGTTTACAAAGTATCTCATATACTGATAAATAATAATATTTACTGTTGTTACTGCTATATATATTTTTTAAATGGGATATGGCTGGTATGGAATGTGGATATAACTTTTTGTTTTGTTTGAGACAATCTCATCAAATAGCTTGTCAATTCTATTTCAATAATCAGAAATTATGATGTAATCCAACAAATAGAATAGAAACCCGATTATCCGTGTATCAATATACGGATTCGCTTTAATTCCGACTTCAAACCGTATATAATATAAAATTAAATTATATTTACATATATTTCGCAACAGAAGCATACGGGTTTCACTTATTTGGTATCGTTGCACTAATACTACACTACGCATCACGAAATATAAGTTTGATTACACGTTCAATCGAGTCCTCCGTGTATCGAGGCAGCCCTGGTGTTACGCAGCGCGTTTGCCTACAGCAAGTAGTGCGCGAGCGTCGCGACCAGTTCGTCTTGATTCGCATACATTTTATTGAACTATTCAACCGAACCAATCAATCTATTAATAGATAATTGTTAAGCTTTCTATTTTACAAAATAACTTATTCATAAATGGCTGAATTTATGTAGTTTCAATATATAAAAAAAAACAAAGTTCCACTTTTTTGGTAGAATTCGTGGCTTTAATTCTATTTTATGTTGTTTACACTCTGGATAATAATTAATTAATCTACTGAAAAATGAAAAGAAACAAATTGATAAGACACAGTACTTATTGCTTGTACTTAGTGCTTAATGTTTCTCCGTTGCAAAGGACGTATAAAAACAATTTAACTGCAATTCGGTGTTGCGCCACTGGGTGATAAAGAACATTAATGACTTGCTAACGAGCATATGTAATCATAAATCTGCCAACTAAAACACTAGGAGAGATATTTTATACGGCAAATTCCATTTTAGGGGTAAGTAATCTGCGCGTTACTAGCTACATAAAAATAGTGGAAGTGTACAAAGCGTTTAAATATTATATAGTTATTCAAAGTAAACCTTTGTATTTGTGTATGGTGTGTACCTCCCATTACGAATGTATTTGATACTTTGAGTACTATTACAAAAATTTTCGTACAAACTTCAAGCCAGATCAATTAAAAAATAACATTCTCGTGATAGCTAATTAATAAATTGTCCTGTCTGACGTTCGGTTACTGCGAAAGTCGTTACATATATATTTGTTCGTAAATAAATTCACCTGGAAGCTCGATTTACACTTCAAAAATTACAGTGGCGAGTTAAATTCTTTTTTCGTTCAAACGACAATAGATAGCTAGAGAAACAAGCGCCACTGTACTTATTGAAGTCCAAAACTGTGATAAGTTCGTTCATGCGAGAGTCGCCGCGCACAAAAATCCTTGCAATTTTACGTTCCGATCTGCACGACTTTCGCTACTTTCAGTTTCTACCGTGTTTGGGTACTAATCTTAACTAAGTTTATTCCTACCTATAATTTGACCACACTATCCCGCATTTGATAAGGGCTTAGGTCGTTTGCTGCCATACTGGAAGGAAAACTATGTTACAATATAGTTACGTCAATTATAGCGTATAAATAAAACAATTTTTCAAACCGGCTTGTAGTTTTAAAGCCTATAACCGGCATAATGTTCACGAGCGAAATATTAAAATAAAAAAAAGGAATAGCAATCTGTGAGATACCCGCTGAGGTAAATTTAAACTTCACTAAGATATTTTTAACACGACAAAATGATATAATACTCAAGAATACAGGTTTAAAGAAAATGTGATCGGTTAAATGTAAAACCTTGTATGAGATGTTCCGTTGCACCGGTTGATGGCAATGTGGGAAGACCGTTACGGTCCGCCCGCCGGCGTCCTGACCCCGTCCTACGGCCGTGGCTAGGCCTCGTTCCGCTCCGGTTGTTTACGAGCCGCGTCCTATAGCCGATAAAATAGGGAGCAATTTAGCTAATCAGTTTAGTTGTTTACCTCGTTATGTGTATTGAGTCGTGAAGTGTGCCTAAACATAATACAGGGAGACCGCGTCCCGTGCCTGATGAATCAGATTTATTAATAAACTTATTTGATCAGTTAATCAATTTATTTCTTAACTTAAAAGGAGGAAGAGGAGGTTTTACTTGATATTTTTTTTGTTCCCTCAATCTGTCAAAATTCCGATGCTATGAAACTTATTTGGCATAATCTTCTTTTGACGAATACTAAAGCATAAAATATATGAAGCATAATTATCGATTGGCCAAATGTTTGTATGCCCTGCAATGCTGGCTGAATATGATTTCATATCTGTCAATCGGTTAGATTAGGACTGACAAAAACGAGGGCGACCCGAGCGGGCGAAATGAACATGCCGGCCCTCGTTACGTATTTTTCTTAGAAAACCCTTACATTTCATTGCATAACGTTGTTAGTGGTAACAAATGACCTTGTATAAAACTAAAGTAATGATTATGGTCAAACCATTGAGTATCTACTGCATTACCACTCTAGGACTTCCCAAATTCCTAGTCCAGATTGGGCTTATTCGATATGCAGAGATATATTTGTTAGCACTTAAAGACCTTTAACTGCTCGTATACGCAACCGCTGCCTTAACTGTAAATAATTGATGGATGCCAACGAAGTAGCATCAGTGTCTGCCACCATTGTCTTTGCAAGTGGAGGTCTTTATAAATCGTAAATGCTGTGTGTAACCGACTCACTGTAATTCCATGACATCCCACACGAATGAATACGGAAGCTATATCAATAGCAGTCACAGCACTCTTTAGCATGAATGCAAAATAAAATTATTAATGTATTGAATATCGTCTTAGACCAGAGATCTTCTAACAAAAACTGGATGAAATTGCGTTATCTAATTACAAATTCTACAGTTTCATCATCAGATTCTAGTGTTTTAGAAAAAAAAGGTTTTTAAAACAAATTAAATGAATGTCAGTAGAAATAAATAGAACTCAAATTGAAAGCCTCTTCAAAATTGAAAGTAGATCTACATATATAAAAGTTCTGATAAGTCAAAGGTTATTTAAACCAAAACAGCAGAAAACGTTGAGATTTTTTAAAATACCTAAACCAAAATGAGTTTTCAAACATACTGAATTTTATTGGGTAAATTTTCAAGCATACGTTTTAGGCGTCCTATGATCGACATATAACAAAAACTATCATTGAAAATGGACTAGACACACGCATTCTTGAAAATTTACTTCGTTATTTAACCGTATATAATATAATGATTTATATAATATAATATATATAATATATATATAATATAATAGGTTAGAATGAATATAAAAGTTAAGGCGAATTCCACGTCAAATATCCGACTTATATGATTCAAAATGCACTTGTAAAAAAGGTCACTATATCTCTTTTTAAAGATATTTACTACTCCATTTAACATTTTAAATAACAAAAAACTATAATGAATATTAATTTAAAAACAGAGACGTCAAATATGTATTTTCTTCCCCGATAATTGCGTTTCCAATGCTTTCAGTTGAATATTTATTTTCTATTAATCAATCGATGTCATGCCATAGTTTTGTTTCGGACTAGGGAATGCAATCTCGTTCTCGCGAGATCTCGGCCTCTTTTAGCGAGATTGATCTCGGTAGCAAAATGGGCGAGATCTCGCGAAATTAACGAGATTGCACTCTAGTATAAAAAAGATTTATTCTAAGTGCGGCAGCGTGAATTTATGCGAATCCGAGGGGTTAGAAGGCGAAGTTTTACACTTTTGCAGTACTTGTATTTTCGAAAGGGACATCCAGTGGCTGGTTTTCTGGCCAGCACGACAATAAGACGAATAGCAAAGATTCTTTGGACATTTTGTGCTTCTTAAGAAGCTACTTCCAAAATTATTCGTAATAATGACGCGTGATGTGAATCGAATAAGCCTTTTAAGTGATTGGTATATTTTGTTAATTTATTCTCTTATTTCTAATAGATCTCTGGGTGCACATAGTTTTTTCATTGATAATAATCTCAGTTTAATAGTCAATTCGACTTAGGTAATGAGTTAAATTATAGTGTTTTTATTTTTGTTATAAAAACTGTGTATTATAATTAATCTTTTCTTTGATATTAGCAGAGAAGACGTTGTTTATTTCATTTCGTATTTGTTCAGATACGTCAAAGTTTAGTTTCTTAAAAGATTGAAAGATCTGGATGATTAAGTTTTACTCGGCATTTTTATAAAATAAAAAAAATAAACCTAACTTAATCGATTTATCGCCTCTGAAAGCCCCTGCATACTTAATGTCACGAAAATTGTTGGAGCCGTTTCCGAGATTATAATACAGTAATTGCTCTTTTAAAGATTTTAGATTAAAAAATGTAATTGCGTCAAACAAAGTAAAATACGAGTACATAAAATTTTAATACCCGTGAAAATAAATGTTCATTTCATAATACCTATAATTCCTATATTTTTTCCTAATTTATTCAAATATTGCGATTTGAATAAATATTAAAGTAAAACAGTAAACACACAAAAGTGCCAATCTCGCGAGATCTCGTAATCGGCGAGATCTCGCGGTATTGATATTCATAAACTCACGAGATCTCGCTCGAGTCCCATTCTCGCGAGATTGCATTCCCTATTTCGGACCACTTTGAGCGTTAATTGGGTCTTCACATATCTGTGGAAAGGAAGACCTATGAGCAAGTTTTAACTCGTTCCTGAGGTATAATTTGTTTTGGTTACAGAATGCTGTATTGTATTGGCAAGTTAGTATGTTTTAGATAATTGCCTCGATATTACGAACTGTAAATATCAACTTAATTAATTATTTGAGAAATTACAATGAGGAAATCCGTGTGGTAGTCATTACGGTGGCGTCATTGCTGTGGCGTAGTGGACCACCACAACGACAAATATACTTTATACATAGCCATAATATACTTTAAAAAATGCAAGTGGATGTCTTTATATATTTTTTTTATATTTAATGTATTACAAATACCTACCTTTCACGGTTCATGACATACAGTTTTTAGACAGACAGCGTCTTGGTAAAAGGAAAAAAGGAACAAAAGCAATCAATTTATTATAACTAAATAAAATTTAAAAAATATTTTAATTTTTCTTTCTTTTTCTGTATAAAAGTATCGCTCCAGCTCCGACTTTCGGGGTTCGATTCACGGTCAAGTCAATGTAAAAAATAAACTTTTCTATATTGTCTCAAATCTGAGCATCATTAACTTCTTTGTTTCAGATTATTTCCATAATACAAGTGCTTAAGATACTTAATTTAGGATTAGAGGGAGAAATGTCTTCCTCGAACTCTTAGAATGTTTATATTGTTTCATATAGTAACAAATACTATATATGTTTCCTCTTTTGTTTACAATATGTTTCTTTCTTCTACAGTACTAAATGTAGCAGCAGGGAAGGCACCCATGCAAGCGTCCACCGACGAGGGTGGAGTCCCGCAGCGAGCGCTGGACGGCAGCACGGCGGCCTCGTTCAGGGCTGATACCTGCACGCTCACCAAGCCCGAGCGAGTGCCCTGGTGGTACGTGAACCTGCTCGAGCCTTATATGGTCCAGCTGGTGCGATTGGACTTTGGAAAACCGTGTTGTGGTAACTATATTAAAATTTCAACAGTTCCTTATAGTAGACCCGTCGTCTTGACAGTAATAAAGCAGAGATCAACATTAAAAGACATTTTTTTGGAAATACCATTAACCATTAATTTATCCCGTGTATAAATTAACAATAGAACTATACTATATAGCTATTAACTATATAACTGTACTCTATAATAAAGTGATTGTTAAAGTTTTTATTGTCGGTTAAGCTACAAATACGACGCGATATCTAATTGGAAGCCAGGCCTCCCCTGACTGAAGATTACCTCTAGATGTTATCATGATATTATAGTTTATTTGTCACTTTAAGCACGACTTAAATGATGTTCCATATTGATTTAATTCATTAAATTCGATTTTTATTATTAGGTTTTTGTTACCCCCACGCAATAGTTGATTTACCCCCGCGGGACTTTTACTTAGGGACCACTACACCAACAGTTCATGAATCAGAAAGCAGGAACTCGTAAACTTTAACCCGGTGTCGGCGGCGGCGGTGGCACGGCTGCATGCGCACGCGCACTATCAAGATGTGCGCGCTCCACTTGCGCGCTCGGGCGCACGCGGTTAACTTGCCAATTACATTCAAGTAGTTCCAGTAATACCTCACAAATACAGCCAAATAGATCGAAACAACCTAGTCGAATAATTCAGAAGAGCAATTGGAACAAAGGCATTATATTATATTGTCAAAGTTTTGGTAGAGGATGATTATTTATTTGATGATCCTTCATTGGTATTTAAAAAGAAACAAAAACAGCGGACTTGATGCCTAAAATATGATTTTCACTGGAAAAAATCTTTATTGAACTGATAAGAATGGCAAATAACTAAATACCGTTCGATATCTTATATACCTCATACTCTTACAAAATACTACTTTATTATAAAAATTCAAGATTTAATTAAATAATTTTAAATTTTTTTTCCACCTACGGAAAGCACGTGGGCAATCTCAGTCGTAATTTACGCCGGCAAAATTTAGTAAAACGAGTTGTACACAAGAACGCAAGTACTTATGAAAATACGTAAAAAAAAATCAGCAAATGCTAACGCACAAAGCTATTGAATATCATTTTACTTTGAGCTATTGTATCAAAAATATTTGAACCTACTACGAACTGGCAAAACAAAATTGTATATTTTGTTTGACCAGAAGTTCCTCGGTAAAATTATTTTATTTTAATTAATTTAGTTTGCCAATCATTAATGGCTTATACGAGGGTCAAACTGAAAGTTCTTAGAACTGGCCACTTATAAACAATATAATAAAAAAATAATTCTAAAATTTGAAAATATAACTCTTTGCCAATATTACTGAGTATATATTTCATTCATTTGTCATTTGTTTTACGATTTGGCGGCAAATTGAAAATTGTCTGTGTCACGTCATCATGAATTTAACACGAGAAAATTTTCGTGCAATGATTTTTTATGACTTTCGATGTCATTTAAGTCAACAAGAAAGTTATGATAGACTACGATTGGCCTTTCACGATGAAGCCCCATCTCGTGCGACTGTTTACAACTGGTTTAATGAGTTTAAACGTGGTCGCACTAATCTCACTGATGATTTACGTGAGGGACGGCCTTCTACGGCGACGACTGAAGATAACATCTGTGTTGTGCGGCGTATGATAGAGACTGACAAAAGAGTGACCTATCAACAGATTCGGACAAGCTTAGGCATCGGTATGAGTCAAGTGCACAAAATCCTCCACGAACATTTAGCGGTCAGGAAGCTTTGCGCCCGGTGGATACCTCATAATTTGACTGAGGCTCAAAAACTCCATCGTGTGGATTGGTGTCGTAAAATGATTGAAAGATTTAACGGAGGTGACTCAAATGCTGTGTTCGACATACTAACAGGTGACGAAAGCTGGATTTACTGTTATGATCCTAAAACCAAAAGACAATCTGCTCAGTGGGTGTTTCCTTTCGAGGAGTTGCCAACTAAAGTGAAGAGAGATCGAAGTGCGGGAAAAAAAATGGTGGCCTCGTTCTTTGGAAGGATAGGTCATTTTGCAACAATTGTGTTAGAGGATCAAAAAACAGTTTCTGCAGAATGGTACACTACCAATTGTTTGCCACTTGTCTTGGAAAAAGTTCGAGAGAAACGACCTCGCAGTAGGATCCTCCTTCACCACGACAACGCCTCGTCGCACACCGTCAAGCGAACGATCGACTATTTGGCGACATCAAACGTTGAATTACTGGGTCACCCGCCGTATAGCCCCGACCTCGCGCCTTGTGATTTTTATTTATTTCCAAAAATTAAAGAAAAACTTAAAGGAAAGCGGTTTATGAATGCTGAAGAAGCGGTGGCTGCGTATCGCGATGCCATTGAAGAGACCCCTAAGGACGAGTGGGCAAAGTGCTTTTCCCAGTGGTTCCATCGCATGCAGCGGTGTATTGACGTGAATGGACAATATTTTGAAAAGATATAATAAAACTAATAACTGGCTAATGTAATCAGTTTTTGATTTTCTAAGAACTTTCAGTTTGACCCTCGTACCTTTTAATGTTGTTCCGCCATATAATAATGAGGGTTATGCACTTCTGAGAGGTTATCCTCTCAGAAGTAAGTAAAGGCTTCTCAAATTTCACACACTATCCCACGTCTTAAGACTCAAATGCTCGCACTTAATATGCAGTATTCTTAAGATTAGTATGATGAACAAAGGTTTCAAGATGGGTCACGTTGATGAATGGAACCGAGATATTGGGAATTCAGATGTCGAGTTTTTTAAATGAAGTCTATTTTCACGTTATTGAAACGTGAAAATAGACTTCATTCACGTTTAAATGAAGCAAAGGAAAATTTGCGTCAGGTTTCTAAATTCGGAAATCCCACAGTCTTAGATTGTGTAATGTCCCTATAGTCATTAGGAGCATACATTTTTATTTATTTATTAATTACGATTAAAACACATAAGATACGAATGGTTGGAATTATTACAGCCAAACTCCAAAAGGTTTGACTGCCAGATCATGAGCCTCGTCTCGACATGACATGACCTTCATTTGTTTATAATTCCGGCAAACTACTTGTTCCGTAGATACTTGAACCCTGACAAACAATTTTATTTCAAAATGCTAAATAAATTACTTAAAGGTTCAACAAAACTGCGATTTGAATAAAAACACAATGGAACCCTAGAACTTTCCAGATACCTACATATTTTAATCTGTAATCCAACTTCCCTAGTAGTGTTATTATATTAAATTATCTACGGTTTTGTGGACAAGCCTCGGCAATCGCAAATGGTTACCCTCGCTGAGTGAAAGTTGCCGATCGAAATGAACGAAAGTAGGTATTTCTTCTCTGAACGCTTATAGAAATCTATGACAAATAAATGACTCGACTAAATGCTTAATATTAATCAACGTAGGTACCTGTTTTGATTTCGCAACAATATCTTGAAAATTATGTTTCAACTATTTTTATATGGAAAATAAAATCAGTAGGTACCTACATGATTTCGTTTGTGAACTCGAAAATTTCTCAATCATTAATTTGTAGTTTGATCTGCAGGACTTAAATTATAAAACTAAACAATGCATCATGTGCTAATATTTCATCTAATTCCAGGTGCCAACAAACCGGCTGTGGTGGTCGTTCGAGTGGGCAACAACCGTCCAGACTTAGGAACTAATCCCATTTGCAACCGGTTCACCGGGTTCCTAGAGGAGGGGCAGCCTCTATTCCTGCCCTGTAATCCACCAATGCCAGGCGCTTTCGTTAGTGTGCACTTAGAAGCTAGTGCACCCAGTCAGCTGTCAATCTGCGAAGCATTCGTGTACACCGACCAGGCATTACCTATAGAAAGATGCCCACAGTTCAGAGATCAACCGCCTGGTAGCACGGCGACCTACAACGGGAAATGCTACATATTTTACGATGGACAGCCGGCAAATTTCAGAGATGCTCTCGGCTTTTGCCGATCGAGAGGGGGCACTTTAGTAGACGAAAGCAATCCAGCGCTGCAAGGTTTCATCAGCTGGGAACTGTGGCGGAGACATCGGTGAGTGGACTCCTCCTTCTGCTAATACTAATATTTGTACATTCACACCGTAACTAGGACGACAAGTCAATTTCTTTAATCAGGACATAACCAGGACTCTTTGAATTGTTCTAGTCAAGTTCCATACCAATGCAATTTTTAATTTCATCTTTTTTTTCATTATATAATTTAAAAGGACTTATTTTTGTATATCAAACGTTTGGAAGTCCCGATTAGTACTTATTTCTTTGGTCTGTTTAATAACAAGTTCTGTTTGTTTCATGATTAACCATTACTAATATAATATGGTAATTTATTTAATATTGGTTTTTGGTACGTAGACGGTTTAGACATCTAAACTTTGCTAATGCGAATGCTGTGCGAGACGTTAGAAAAACCAAGGATTATCAGACGTCACTTTAAAATTGACAGGCATACCATCACGACGATTTGTCCTTACATTAATTTGTCCTTATATTAATTATTCATATACCAAATTCTATTCAAATTCATTCAGTAGTTTTTACGTGAAAGAGTAACAACCACCCATCAACATCGTCATCCTACAAACTTTCGCATTTTTAATATTAGTAGGATTTCTCTAAATGAAATTTGTTAGTTTTTGAGTTAGTTACAACCAGACCTCAAGTAGCGGCGACTGGTTATTTTATTTATAATAATGATAATCTAACTCTGAAAACTACTTAAAATCGCACATGAAGCCGTCTCAAAATTAAAAATAAAGTCTGGTAATCCTAGCAATGTATCTATAGAAATTCAAACGTTAAGCTTAGATTTTTATTGTTTTTATTATTTATTTAAAATAATAACATGTAGGTTTTGGTAATTGCTAATGCGAAAATTTCTGTATTGTCATTTTAATATTGTATTAAAAGTCTATCCTTTAAAAATAAATTTTAACTTCCTCTTCGATAGAAATCAAACCCCGAACCACCCTCACTGTGTCTTAGTCTAGGGTTGCCAATTGTCCTGTTTGCCCGAGTCGATTTTTCTAAACGATGGGAACTGCATAACCCTACGCTGGGGAACCAGGGCGGCTAGACGAGGTTATTTATGTATGGTTTCCATACGAATCCACCCCCAAAAAAAGGGTAAGTCAAAATGCAGGAGCGTACCCATTAAAATCTAGTAATATATCCCTTTCAATGGTATGCGATGCGCGAAAACCACCCTACGGCTCCTTCTCGCTAGGACTATTATATTTTTGTCGTTAATTACGAACTTAATTGGACCTTGTGCTTGTATTGAGAAATAAGTGCCACCACAGAAATAATTATATATCAAGAATTTATTTCTGTTAATGCCACCAGTCTAAAACCGGCAAGCATATCTCAAGAATCAATGAATTTAGATATTATTTATTATGTAAAATGTTACTTCCGGCAATACATTAATTACATCATTCTCATAGAGAATATTATTGTAAAATCTCCTTTCTATCCTTTCTTCATTATGTAAATATATCATGAATTATTTATCATGCAATAAAGATATTAGAATACATCGAAGTTTGGTATAACTAATTATTCAATAAGAATTTGTTTGTTTATCCGTCTTTCACGTGAAAACGGAGCAACGGATTAGTGTGATCTTTTTATGTGGAGATAGTTGAAGGATATACGATACTTTGTCTCTTTCTATTCCCTCACCCCCTCTTAAATAGGAGATGGAAGTTTGTTTGTAGTATTTAACAATTTTCGAGGCAGAAAGTTTAAACTTGAAAGATTAATCTAAATATATATAACTCAAAGGTGACTGACTGACATAGTGATCTATTGGCATACAGGTAAATGTTATGACGCTAAGAAAGGATTTTGATCAATTCTACCCCCAAGGGGATAAAATAGGGGATGAAAGTTTGTATGAAACTTTGTCACTTTTAAACCGATTGGGCTGAGACTTTGCATGCATAAAGCTACTATGATGTAGGCATCCCCTATAAAAGGATTTTAATCAATTCTACCTCCAAGGGGATAAAATGGGGGATTGAAATTTGTATGAAACTGTCAATTTTTAACCGATAGGGCTTATTTTGCACGCATAAAGCTACTATCCCCTAAGAAAAGATTTTAATAAATTTCACTCCTAAGAGGATAAAATAGGGGATGAAACTTTATTTCAGGTATTTTACGCGATATAATGAATCAATATTTGTTAGAAATGCTGCTCAAAGTAACTTTACCATGCGGACGAAGTCACGGACAAAAGCTAATACGTACATAAAATCTAAATAACTTTTGAAAAAAAACATCAAAAGATAAGAAGAATTGTCCGCGCCTCCGATAGATGACGGTACTAAATTTTGAAACATATTTGATTTATGAGCATTTGCAAATGCTGCCAAAAGTTCTTATACCATGCGGACAAAGTCGCGGGCAAAAGCTTGTTTGACTTAAAAATATCTATTACGTGCAACATTTGTTAATGAAACGTTCCAAAAATCAGAGAGAATAACAAATTAATGATAAATCTACTGAGTTTCCTAATTTATGATGTTGGAGTATTTCAGAGAGGGTATCACAAACACAGTTTTGTCTTACAGTAAGGTAGAAAGGTAGAAAGATAAGGAAACAGAGAAAGAGTATTTCTAACGATTTTGGCTAATCCTACATGGTTGGTCGTCAATTGTATGTACTCTATAAAAATATAATTTTAAGCTGAACTGGGATATTTTATTACTCCCTGAATGAAAATAGAATATAAATACCGGCCATGTGCGAGTGGACTCGCGCACGTAGGGTTCCGTGCCGGAAACGAGTGAAAAAAAACCAGCCTGTTGTATTTTTGGGACCCTCCTTAAATATTTATTTTATTCTGTTTTTTTATATTCATTGTTGAAGCGGCAACAGAAATACATCATCTGTGAAAATTTCAGCTTACTATCACGGTTCATGAAATACAGCCAGCCTGTTGACTGGCAGACACATAGGAAGCGAAGTCTTAGTAATATGGATTTTCCCATTTACCCACGGAACACGAAAAAACTATTTTTCAGCGTCAAATATTAAGATAACTTTGTGATTGATAGTTTACAAATAAAGCAGAGAAATGGATACTAGCGCCATCTTTTGATAGAGAAAAATGTAGACAGTGACTTCTATCTTCAAATATAAAGAAACAATAAGATATAATTCACTTAAACAATATATACTCCTCGTATATGAGTTGCAGGCGAGCCATGAGATTTGTTAGTTTCTAATGAAAATGGTGGCGATTCTGTTAAAACAACTTTGATTACATTTTTGTAATAATAAATAATTGCATTTTAATTTATTAAACAAGCGTGTACAATGGTCCGCAGACCCAAAGTTTACAGGTTACAAAACAAAATTCAGCACTGTATTTAAATTAACGTGTTTTTAATTGAAAAAAAAAACAATAAATTCAGTACCATTTTCTTATAATACAAATAATTCCTTTACTAACTTTTATAAAGGCGGGGAGATCCCTAAAACTCGTGATTTAAGTCTAAAAAAGCTTACGAAATTATGCTCTAAACATCTAAGATAACAGGAGTACATAATATACATTAGTACAATTATATTGTATTTAATATATAAAAAAACAACACAATAGCATTTCATCGTGATCAGTTCTTTTACATGCCCACTGCGGAGGCCAGGCCTCCCATGTGGATAGTTAAGGAGGATGGGCCATTGGTTTTAAGAATAGCATTTACGTAAACCCAAATAATATTAAGTTTCTTAGTTTGGTTCAACAGAATTCGCACCAGTATGGTCCGCCGTTTAGATATTATTACAGTTAAATATTTCAACGCTTGCCGAATCGATTTTTGATTGGAGCTAACTATGCGCTTGATTTGCGAGCTATTTGTAACTAACGGAAGACTTTTATACATTAATTACTGTACGAAAATTTCATTTGTACTCGCTTGCTAATCTATATAAACAAAAATGAATTTCCGTTCGTTAGTCTCGCTAAAACTCGAGAATGGCTGAACCGATTTGACAAATTTTAGTCTTGAAATATTCGTGGAAGTCCTGGGAAGGTTTAAAGATGAGAAAATATGACAAAATTGCGAGTATAATACTAAAAACGACAACTTGATTTTCCCATACAAACTGTTCTTAGCTGTCAAACGGTCAGTTGATGATCAATATTTATGGTCATGTATTGGTCAGTTTACGCAATATTTTTCAATATTAATATGGTTTTTATTAAGAAGTAAGTGATACGAAGTTCACCGGGTCAGCTAGTTCATGATATAAATGAATTGCTATTCAAAGATGATTTATTGATTACACGATTCAATTCTGTCTTCTTCAATTATAACAGCGGCCTACAAACTATAACAAAGACAGTTCAGCGTTTGCCTACTCATTAAGTAACTATGTGCTATCATATTCTATTAAAACCAGTTTCGAATTGACGTCGTGCACAGCGATTGTTATTACAAATTTAAGGTGTATTTTTTTATTTATTTACGACTATAAAAATTATGAGAAAAAGACATTATCATGATATTTAGACATGCAACCTGCAAAACAATTAAGAAATTAATACACGTAATTTTATCAATAACACAGACTGAGGTGATTTAGTAGGCAGTTAGTATTATTTTAGTGAGTAATAAATAACACTCACAGATTAGCAGTGATTTTTTCTTAACAACATAATTTATTTTATTACATAAGATTCTATCGATATACAATCTAAATAATATTTCATTTGAACTGTACAATTAATTAATTAATTTAAAAAAATCACTATTCACACACATATTTAGATGTAAATACTATAACAATTAGGATTGTGTATTATATTGAGTGCTTTGAAAAGTCTTACATAAAAACGAATTCTAGGTGACTATTGAAAAGAAATTTTCATTCAATGCATAATTTAAATGAAATAGGATTTAAATTTTGTGTGGAAAATAAAAATTTTTTGAAGATAGATTTTTCACATAATTCAGCTTAAATTGAAATAAATGTGGTGAAAAAGGTCGCTGGCTCTAATTAATATGTCTCAAAAGTGCTTTTGAAATTTTAACCATATACTTCTCACACTCGAATAAAATTTTATACGTGAAAATCATGTTCAATTAACATAATTACACACAAATCAGTGCAAATTACGATTATATGTTATGCACAAATTCTCGTTTCATGTTAACCCTAATTGGCGACATGTGTCCACGATTCCACGTTCGTGTCGTGCCTAGCCACTAATTAGAGCTAGTATTCAGACACGTCTGTCACTGGCCTGCATTTACACCGCCCTGCAATTGACCCTCATTTCCGTGGACATTTTCCGGGATCCGGATATCGGTCAACTCAATTAGTCAACTTGGCCAACGATTTATTATCAATTACCATAAATCGCTAAACAGTGAATCTAAGCTCTGAATCCTTTTATCTTTAGTATGAAAACTCACTTTATAAGCTCCCTCTGGCGAATTATCTTACAAATAAATAAAAACGATTTGAAATTATTTTACATTTGTTCTAGTCTTTGTTTTATCTATACTAATACAATTTTTTTAAATTCTTTCACCTACGGGAGGCTACACTATACGGGGTTGACATAGGCTACATCATAAAACTAGTTATGTTATACAATGTCATTTATTTTTATACAGGTTTATTATATTAACTGTTATTAATACAGAGAAAATATATTTACATTTATATTTATTAGGCATCTAATAAAATATTAATATATTTGAACAAATATAATAATTGTGGTAAATAGGTATTAAAGGTAACAAAACACTATCAACTTCAAAAATCGACGTAGTTACATTTTTACAAAAGCTTTTTCGTTGCATTTAATGTAAACTGAGTGACTTGTATTTTTTTTTTTGCTTTTATTTTTATTTTCATTAATAAGTTCAAAAGTTTTTACATAATTTATATAAACTATTCTCGTTTAGATCAGTCTCCGCCTCTCAATATCTAGCAAGCTTAATTTTAATTGTTCATATGATATTACCTACCATTTTTGCCACATTGCTGATATTACCAGTTTTATTCTGTTATAAAAGAAAACTCACCGACGAGCGCAATCGTTGTCATAGCATTGAGGTTTAATTGAGTATTCTTACATCCAAAAGTTATAATTCATTATAGTCCTATGCTCTGATAATATTGTGGCGATCGACTTCGAATTAGAAGCTATTTTTATAGCTACTCTGTGCAACTGAGTGACTCAAATATCGATACATTTTCAGTAGGTTTATTTTTGTACTAGAAAGTATATAACTATGTGGCCCAGTATCTGCAACTAACGACACGAGGGGATTTTTTTATTTTACACTACATTGGGCTATTTATTTTGTAAACAGTTAATTTAATTAATCAATCTTCAAGCATTACGTACAATAATCTGGCGTGGGTTACAAACTCCAATGAATTGAAACTTTAATATGTTAATCGTAGTTTAGTAATGATAACAGTTTGATGTGATATGTTATGTTTAATTAATATTCGGTACTCTCCACAAATTTTAACTACCTAATTAGTCAGTCTAAATAACACCGTCCAAAATTCCGAGCATTCACTCAAATTGGTTTAATTAATTCAACGATTAAAACTGGTTTCCTGAACTCAAACTAAATAAATCTGACTAGGTACTCGGTTTACATAATAATAAAAAGCTTTGCGTATTTCCTTTTGCTACAATGTCACACCAACAATTGTTATCTATTGTGCTTTTATAAATGTTTCAATTTGATTATCAATAGATGGCACCAATGTTATTATTTGATATTTTTAATTATTAATAAGTTCTATTTATTAATAAGTCCTATCTATTTGTCTAAAATTAATCACAATTTTCTGTGGTTTCAGAGTTATAATTTTGAAAGCAGAAAACCTTCTGGTGTTTTATTTTAATACTTATAAAATAATGGAAGCATTTACGCATAAACACTTTCTACACTTTTGAGTCCAGTCAAGTGTTGATAGAAAGGCAATATATAATTTCTGCGATTTTTTTGTGGAATCACAGAAGACAATAGGTGTAATTAAGATTGCTATAAACAAACAATAAAATTTAACATATCTCTCCTTTGAGAGTAAATACAATTCGAGACTAGCCCTTACTAACAATGAATAATTTTATTTTAACGCAATAAGACAATGTCAAGTCCCTGACCGTTCTGCTACTAAATTTACGGCAGACTAATTTATTTAGGAACTAATTTATTTATATTAACAATAGACAAAATATATATAAAAATTGTAATTTTTTTAAATTAATATTAACACATCTCTGCATCGATTCTATCATCACGCACTTAAGAAGGACTGATGAAAGAATTTATTGTAGGAGCGACAGCAGCAGTCAATATTGGATGGGAGCGGTCCGCGATCCTCGGGACCCCGCCAGCTGGAAGTGGGTGAACGGGAACGACCTGACCGTTTCCTTCTGGAACGCTCCAGGAGGCACAGAAGGCTGCGCAAGATTCGACGGCAGCAAAGGCTGGCTGTGGGCCGACACCGACTGTCAAGCTAAACTGAATTACATCTGTCAGCACCGTAAGTTCATAATTCAACGATTGCCAAGTGAAATGCTTACGCGAATATTCTTGTACTCTAAAAATTTGCTGAGCGATTGTTGCGAATCGTATATCATTGTGTGCAATCAGCGACCGTGTTTTTATTTTTATTTATAATGCATTGCGATCATCCTAATCCTGAGTTGATAACCAGGTTGGCTCTTAATCCCTTTTGGCTGATGGTTCACCTGTCCTACAGAGCCGAGAGCATGCGGAAGGCCGGAACAGCCTCCTAACTCGACTATGGTAGCAGAGGTGTTCGACGTGGGCGCGTCAGTGGAGTATTCCTGCGACGAAGGCCATTTGCTCGTGGGGCCTACCACCAGGACATGTCTGGATACCGGCTTCTACGACGAGTTCCCGCCTGTTTGTAAACGTAAGTGATCGCGCGACTGATTACTAAACATGTATACGTTCAATAAGTTTTTGTACTAAAAAGTCTGTAACATATTTTACCTCCTTTTAAAAATCGTAAAGCTTAATTATTATAACAAATCCATGGAAATCCTATATGCCTTATGCAATACTAATATAGAAGCTTTAATAAAGAAGGTTATAATATAAAACCAATGATATACTAAAATTGCTTTTCTTTCAACACAAGCATAACGGGACATTGTTAGGTTTATAAAAAAAAGAGAAAGCTTTTTAAGATTTCGTCGACAACGTAATTGCTTGGATTCAATTCATATCTCATTTATCGGGGCGTCAGAAGATTTGTAAACTCGTTATCCATTCGATAAAATCCAAATAGCTGTGAGCTTCATGTCAATATTCTAGGCATCGTGTGCGGCTACCCCGCCGAGATACAGCATGGCTCCTACCAGCTGCTCAACGACTCCGTGTCGTATCTATCACAAGTGGAGTATTCCTGTGCCAGTGGCTACGAGATGGTAGGCCGTTCGAGGCTCGTCTGTGATATCGACGAACGATGGAACGGCCCGCCACCGAGATGTGACGGTAATTCATCCTCTATGGCTTAGGCTCACTGTGTAAATCGAACCATTCCAGAACACATTTCAAACTATGACAAATCCATGGAAATCGTACTCATACCGAAATTACTGACTATTATATCAATATATATATATTATAACGGCTTTGTCGTATTGAATAAACACCATCTTCCGGTTAGCGAAAAGAAAATTATTTAAGAGCTTGTACACATAACTGCAGAGCAGGGCAGACGATTTCACAACTTAAAAAGTTGTGATTCGAATGGCTTTGATGCAATTTCCCTTCCACAGCTGAAATGATCAACACACGTCAGCAAATGGAATGCACAATGTTAATCACTCTTCAATGCAAGCTCGCAGATTTTCGATAATTTTACATACGATTTTAATAGAACATCAGAATTGATATTTTTGACAAATTGTGCATTTACAATATTGAAATTATTGCGAAATCTCACGACACCTTTGACTTCGAATTCTTGAAGAATTTTCCTTAAAAAAACATTCTTGAACTTTGAACTGTGAAAAATGTTTTTGGAGACTTCGGCGGATACTTTCTTCATATAGTAGGTGGAAATAGATTGTATCTTCCAGTTGCCACAATTAACGAGCCGTCTCGTGAGAATCCCACACAATGAAAATAGTTTTTCACGTGTAACCGAGCTTTCTATACAACAGTGGGACAATCTTCTACAAGTACCATCGACATGATTAATCTATTTATATGATTTTGGTAGTAATAGTATTTCCAAATTAAAAATTTCGTGCACTAATTTTAAAAAGTCTCACTTTGGATACCACGGGGAAGGTAAATCAATGTTCTAGGCTGTCAACTTTTAAATTATCTCCCCCCATTCCCTCGGTACGCCCAAGCACACAATATCATAGTACTATATACTAGTTACAAAAATGTGACAACACGTCAATATCGGCAGTGGTGATGTGTGAGCCTCCACCAGCGGTTGCCAACGGGCGTGTGATCGTGGCCCGAAACGCGAGCGTATTCGGCGCAGTGGCTGAATATTCGTGCTCGCGTGGTTACCGGCTCCAGGGATCACGCAAGCTACGTTGCCTCGACACCGGCCTCTGGGACTTGCCAGCGCCTCTCTGTCGTCGTAAGTTTGTCCATGACATAAACATTTGGTTTCGTCAAGTCTTTTTCATAATCTTATATTTGTACTCTCATTGTATTACAAAAAAATGTATTTAATAGAATCAGGTGATGTATTGCGGACGTCCATTGCTATAACTATAAAATTGTCAGCATCTACCTGCTGTGCAATGCTCGTATACAAATTCACATATACAAACGGCAATGAATCTCGCAACCATCACTTCGGGTAGTGCCAACTTACCAGGTTGGTCTGTATAGTCTGGAACCATGAAAAGACCTGCTGTGGAAGTTACTTTATATGATTGTTTCACAGATATTAATTATAGTTTATCGCTTGATTATTTGCAAACAAAAATTACATATTCTTCAATTTATTCCTTCGCAGCTGAAGAACGATCTACCACAACATCGACCACTACTACGACCACACCAGCTCCTACTACCACGCTTCCCCCATCTCCGAGTACCCCCAGATTAGTCCTCCCGACGAGGCGTTTGAACCCTTATCTCTCTTCACCAACCCCGTTTGTCCCACCTGAAACGACGCGACGTCCGCGCCCCAAAACCACCACAGAGAGGGTCACAACACGAGCAGACGAAAGGACTACCATTCGAACATATGAAAGACCTCCAGAGAGGAAGACCACTACAGCAGACACTCAGGAGTCATCCACCAATCACATGCATCACATTATAGTTGCTAGCCATCCAAGAGAAAACCAAGTAAGTTTTGGAAACTTCATACTTGATTATAATATATTTTATTTGAACAAAGAAGTATTTACTTAAATTACGTGGGTATGAATACGTTTCTGGAGCGGACTTTGGAGTAATTAATTTTAATTTTTGCTTGTATCTGTTAATACATCCCAAGATCGGGTCGTGGTTACAAAAAAATAAAACAGACAGATTTCATTTCTATTGGGCCGTTAATGACACAACATAACATAACAACCACCCAAATCCCGAGAAAACAGTAAAGTCAGCAAGAATTTTTATTGGAATACGATCGGTTGCCTGTGGCGTAATTCACTAAAGGTGAATTGGATTACTTTCACAAGACAAACAGGACGTATTGATTAAAGTTTCCTCAGGGGTGATTTGTATCCATTTATTACTCGTACCACTTCCTATGGATATTACGATATACTTTTAGAAACAAAACTGTTTATTTAACTGTTAATAAGGTTATTATTAAATGACATATTTTTTTATAATGTGCTATTATCTTCGTTTGACTATAAGAAACTCGCTCCATCGTAGAGCTCGCGGGGTAGTGGTAATTATAAAAGAACGAAATTTAATGTTTTGACTTTATTCGTGCTTCAAAAAGCACCGGCGTCAGTTTTCTAGTTGCATCTGCAATCGTTCACAAATAACAATCGCACAGGGCTAAAGTTAACGTAATATATGCGTCTCGAATAATTGCATTAAGGCCGATGTATGCACTATCAACCGTATAATCTAATATTAGGTATTAGTGTAATAGCTTCTTCACAAATCAATGGACACAATGGACAGAAACGTTTGTCATTTTTTGATCTAGTAATGAGAAGTGTATCCAATGACTTGTTATTGAAATACTATTATCAATAATAGCTAGTACATTGTACCTAAAACGAAATTTCATCTTTAATTTTCGAAAAAAAAATATTTTATAACGGTGATACGACCTGACACTGCCTCTGATGCAGAAATAATCTCCACAGATATAGTTTAAAAATTATATATAAAAATGTTTCGAAATTCTTTAATATCTGTGAACAAAAAGAAGATCCTTTGGAGTCATGTTTTCTGTTGTGGCCAAGTCTAAGAAAACCTATAGATCTCAATGGATGGACATTTTTTAACAAACAATATCGTTGTAGATATTTAATTTAATACGTTGCTAGGTAGATTGCTAAGTGGATGGCCGGTGGGCTTCTAGCCGGATCCCGAGTCCTTCTCCCCCTCCGGAGGTTACTCGCAGCGGGTTTTACTAGATAGGCCGACCTTGCTTAACCCTGTCCTTTTCAGAACGGGTGTGAGGGCTTAAGGTTGCATGACTTGACATAGCTAATTAAAAGGTACAAAGATCCGATTCAAGTTGAGTCGTGTTTTGCTTTCTAGAAAATGTTTTATACGATTCGGCCAATGGCTGACTATTAGGCAAGCGTTCTTTTTTTAAATAATGTTAGGATGTAGTAAAAGACCGGTTTCTCCTGTAAATTATATACTGCTATAGAGGCTACCTGGCTATAATTGTTTTGAGTATAGTGTAGCACAAAAGGGAAATTGTATGTTTATAACTTTTGGGTGTGTTGAGTACAACACGTCACGGTCGGGCCAACGCGTAGGTGAAAGTAGAAAATCGTAGGTTTCATGACATAGCTCCTTCACATTTGCAAAGTTCTTAAGTACCTATGTGTCCCACAATATCATTAAGTAATGCTACAATGTCAACAAATAATTCAGCCTATAGGCACTTACCGTCTTAAACTGTGACTTTTGATTTTCATCCAGTATTTTAATACTGATTAAGCCTTAGGTCAATTCTTTATAGCGATAAAGAATTAGATAAAGGTGTCTATCTGTATATCCTAAAAATTTCAATAAATTATATTATCCTACGAAATTATCAAATATCATATTGTGTGAACTTTAATATTGTGTTTTTTTTTTATAAGGTTTATTATTTTAACGTTAGTAACCGCTCTAGAATTTCGATTTGGAATTATTATTTTGATAAAGTTCAATGGCACATTTTTTTCTTCTGTACCAATGTTATGTTAAAATCTTCCGTGATTTTTTAAATCACTTATAACTTATATCTTTAATGCTTCATTTTTTTGTTTATTTATTAACAGCTTTGGAAATATCCATACAGCCACAGCTTTAGTACATTGTTCTTTAAACCCTTAATTCTTCATTACTTAATAAAAGTCATATCACTTTATTGATCAAATTTAGTTTCTTTTTTAATAAAGTAAAGTAAGAAGTGTGTTTCTTAAATTGGGACAGGCGAAGGAACTTAACCATGCAGCCAAATCTTAAGTAGGGTTATTTATTATTATAATTTTTTTTTTTTTACCAGGTCGTAGGCAGTGGCAACAACTTCCGTGCGGAACAAACACCTCGCGTGAATGTTCCACAGTCGGTTGATGGTCAACGACAGACGGTCGGCGCTCGGTTGAACACAGGCGCTGTGGTAGCGCTGGGCGTGTTCGGTGCTCTCGTGTTCCTGATAGCTATTATCACCACAGTGGTCATCTTAGTCAGGAGGTGAGTCAGATTGGAATATTGCACAGCTTTACTAGCAGCTTAAATAACGTTTTATCCTATACAGAAGCATTCTTTTTTAATAATTTCGACTGAAGATTATCCTTAACTAAGTTGTTACGAACAGTAATTATAAACTTTAATAAAACGGAACTGTAAAACAAATACGCGAATTGACCACGCATAAAATAAAATTAAAAAATATATCTTAATTGACTTGAGAATGCCCCCATTTTTCTTGCCGTAATTTGACTCGTTTTTGTTTTGAACGTCATTGGTTATTCTTGTTCTATTGTTCCTAAAGCGATATCCAAAAGTCAATTATTGGATATCATAATTCTAGCCGGGTCATAATTAAAAGCTTTTGATTATTTATTGGAACAGGATAAATAACTTGTTTTTACTTTCATTATTATGCCTGCAGCAACTTAATTGCAAATTATAGGTTAGATTAGTTACATAGAAAGCAAAATATGATTCTGCACATATTTCGACCTAATAAGCTTTATACCAAGCAAATATTGATTGTTTATATCACTTTATGTGCATCTGCAAATTATTATGAAAGATGTCTGGTTTGGTGTACGAGTGAGTGCCTTAAAATATAAATGCATAATATGAATACGGCGCGGTAGGAATACACGTTCTGTGTCCATATATTTTTATAGTGTTACTCACACCAGCTTAATGAAATCAAACATCACACCACATGTAACCAGAAATCATAATACGTATTCTCCATATTAGATTATAATGAAAGGAACTAGATAACTATAAAAATCATTCAGCACAAGAGGACACACGAGACAACGTCAAAGGAAATAGCATTTTGCAAATATTTTTACAGAGAAGCTTTTAAGCTTATTGAAAATTAATTTTGATTATTTAGGTACTTACTTTATGAAAATTTTCGGTCTTATTATAATTGATAACACTTTCTTTCTGGAAAATTAAATATACTGCTATTCCATAATTTAAAGCTAGTTATCAAAAGCACAATTTTAACTAACATATTCATTCATTTTTTTTTGCAATTTCTTTGTTATTCTACTGTATGTTATTATGAGATATTGACCATACAAATGTAAACCCTTTATTCAATTATTTATTTTATTTTTTAAGTGTCCTTTTGTCATTATTTATCACAACATTATCTCTTACTCGAATGAAAAGATAACATCGTTAAACTGTTTTTAGATACCGCCCAATTAATTAACTATATTATTACTTCAAGAATACTGTAAGCGAGATTATAAAGTTTCAAACAAAACTCACATAGAGAGATGATTACACATAGTCAGACTATACACAACAATCTGGCTTAAAGGCGATTTAATTTCGAAGCGGCGAGGAGTTGATGCGATGTTTTGAAATTGCAATTTTTCTGGTTCATCTAGACTCTACAGGGTAAATTGTTTGAATATTTATATAACAATTTAATACGACTTCTCGGGCAATGCTGCGTTTGATAAAAGGAATAACGTTTTATATTATCTAATTTGCCTAATATTTACACTGACAATGTTTTATCAGTAATGTTTGCCTCGAAATAACCCTTGACGTTAGATGTAAATAATATAAATATATAGTATTATGTTGTTCCCGTAACTATACCTTTGGAAACCTGTGGGGAAATACAAAAATTTCTAATCAGAGGCTACTAGTTGCGAAGTTTGGATTAATATCAATGTAATTAACGCAACGCCTCACATCCATGCCTCGCCTCGCCGGCCGGTGTGTAACCCTCATTAACGCGCGGTTATGACGGCAGCGGGCCCCGCAAGAGGGCGCCCGCGCGCGAGCTGCCCTCCCGCTGGTACACACTGCTGGCGCTGCCGTTCCCCGACCAGCAGGTCGGTCGGCGCGAGTTTGCGCGCGCGCACCGTCTTGCGCATCGCGCCGGACACTTCTCCAACCCGTTATAGCGAGTGCGTTTATATTTTGAGGTACACACCGCGAGTGGCATTGTGGCTGTAATTGATATAGGAGAAATTAGCGAAGCAATAAAATAAAAATTATAATAATCAAAAGGTAAACGGAATAGCAACTTCTAATTTGTAAAAAAGAAGAATGATAAGAATGTAAAACTTTTTAGTGCAGTTTATTTAACACAGCTTATGTCCATTATCAGAAGTAATCTCGTTTTATTCAACAAGACATTCTAATTCAGTTTACTTATGTCGGAAGTCTTATAATATATTTAGTTTTTGCTTGAAAGAAACTATCTGTTATCCTGCGGCTTCGCCCGCTTTAATTATAGCCCGCACACAATGTAACTTGCTGTAGATGAAATAATTTTCATAATAGGATCAGTATTTCCGAAGATTACTCGCTACAAAAAAGTTAGAAACTATACCTATTTATGATATTGTTATAAATAAACATGGCGCATTTACTATGCTTTCGGTAACTGATAAAAGAGAGGAGGGCTACTTCAATGTTACAATTTTGCACATTGAATAATTTGCCGATATAACATCACGTTCAGGCAGCCACCGTGCCATTTTGCGTATACTCACCGCCCGACAAGCACCAAACGAACGCACGCAATTTTGATTACCTCACAATGATGCTATTCTGTTAAAAAACAACTTCAAACTCGTCGTGGAACCGGCGCTGGCACTTCATAGAGGTTCGATCAAATAAAACCTTTATTACTTTTTGAATTAAGTTTTATTTAATAGAACCTCTATGACGTGACAGCGCTGAGTTCCACGATGAATTCGAGGCTGTTTTTATAACATAATAGTAGATCACGGTTTCAGGCAAAAGAACGAAATTCTGTTAGAAGACACAATGTAAATAAGCATAACTTAGAATTGCACTTGAACAGCACAATACTTGATCATTATCACTTTCAAAAGTAGCTTTTTTTTTCAGTAAAAAAAATAATTAAGTATAATTAAGTCACAGGTCACATCGCATCGTCGTTTCGGAGATCAGACATGTCCGATTTCTCCTATATAAAAATATAAAAATAAATGTCGTCGATTAATTCAGCAGGCTTACCTACTTTAAGATATAATTCCGTGACTACTTTATGGTGAAAATCTAGCCCAGAGATTCCCAAACCACAGATAATACTAAAGACTGATTTGCCGCATAAATCAGTGTCCATATATTTTTATTTTTGGGTATACCTTCTCTTTATTTAATGTTGTATTTTTTCATAGACTTTAAGTAAATGATTGTCTCGTATTGAATTACTCAGAAATATAGAGCATCAAAAACAATCGTCCTTTTCTCACATTTCTTTAAATGTATTAGTTTCGAGTGAATTTATTTGGCTATACCATATGAAAGTCAGAATTAAATACAGAGAGGACTAATAAGGACTCCCCTTATTATGTTACTTTAACACTAATTTCTATCACAAGCATATCAATCTATATCAAATCTCGATACCTACTCAGAAGTATCTTATTTATATTGGATATAAATTTGCTACTCCTATTAGATAAACAATTATAATGCAATAAAGTTTAAAATTAATTGCACAAACTTCAATCTTCTTTAACCTGATGCAACATTAAGCTCGATCCTATATAAAACTATAGGCCGTTTTTACTGATGGATCACTACGTCTCTGAAATTTTCGGAACTACAATCTCTGCTGAAACCTTCAGCCTATAAAAAATACCTACTGAGTATTTTTTTTTATCATTCCTCATATTCGAATGCGTACCTAACATATCAGTCAGTAATTTTAATACTAAATTCATCGAGCATGTATGAATTTCGTTAAATCTAATTTTGCTATATATATTTTAATTCGCACTTGATGAATTTTCAGGCTAACGGTACTGCACGCATTTTGCCTAGTAGGTACATACTCATATCAGTAGCGCCGCTAAAATAAAAAATTGGATATGAATACCGTTCACAAGTCTCACTACTATTCGCTAGTTTCGTACGTGATAGCAAATACAAACATATAAGAAAACCTAGCTTCGAGTTTATCAACGAATATTATTTATTCAATCAAATGAAGCGTACTTCAATAGGTAAAGGCTTTATTTCATTGAAGCTCTGTGACGTGACAACGCTACATTCGGTGACGAGTTAGTTTTTTTTATTACAGCTTAGCATAGCTGTCTCTTGTAGCCTCACGATTTATCTCTGTTTTTCAACATTTTTATGCGCACTCTTAACACCGTTATATTTAAAACAATTAACATAGTATTTTCTTTATCAAACACCTTAGTCGATGTCTTAATTCTACCTAAATCCCACCAAACTAGTAAATATGCGCATTTCATTATATCCACCATTTTCCATTTCAGTAGACACCACAACGACGTTAAACGTTACAGCCACCACGTGTCGCCCGACTGCAACACGGTGGCGTCACTGGACTCCTCGTCGTCCGAGTCGCGGAGTGGTCTGAACAGGTACTACCGGCAGGCGTGGGAGGAGTTGCACGAAGCGGCCGGAGCGAAGCACGGACACAGGCGGCACGAGCGCGAGGCGCCTAAAGAGGGCTCCGAGCTGGTCGTGTCCGACGTCCACCCGGCGGCGCACGCGCACGCGCGCGACCATCGCCGCCACCACCACCACCACCATCGCGAGCCGCGCCATCCTGATTGGAACTCACCCCACCGGCCGCGGCACAATCATAAATCTAGATACTAATGTAGCGGAAACAAACTTCAAATTTGTAGCTCATAAACTTATTGTACTTAAATACCAAACTACGACTGATAACATTACCACATCCGTCCAATAACCTAAGCTGGTTATATTCGTATCTTGTTTTAGGATTTGGTAGCAAAATCCAGATATTTTCTTAATCAAAAAAGAATGTAAGCTGAAAACACACGAGGAATTATTTTGTTCATATCTTATAAACATGGTACGTACTTAATTATAATTTTATTTATATTTATAATCGAGAAAATAGTGTCATGTAGGAAAGCACTTAAACCATAATTAAGTAATAATATATTCGCAATTAAAATAAGTAAAGCAATCTATTAATTAAGTTAATAAAGTGGCTCATTATCTTTATAAGTATTTTGTAAAGATATTTATTTTTAGTTTAAACTGAAGATTTGACTGATCGCTTCATAGATCTGCTATTCGTAAGAATACCTTAAGTAATGTATCTTTAAAACCGTCGTTTATAGAAAATACAATCAGCGCATCAAGTTATACTAAACTGTCTTTACAATCCTTTATTCATAGAAGCTCAAACTCGTTTGCGGGAAACATTTCGTTATAACCTGATGCGCTGCTGTCTGTACTTGGAGATTAACGATTATAGACCAAACTCCTTTTCGTAACCAAATACTTTATAAAACACAAGCTTCCTTAGAAATAGAGTACCCATAGTATTTAACAAAAATATTAGTAGGTATGCTCTAATAAAGTATTAACGAATTAGGTAAATAATGATAAGTAATAATTCAGAATGCAGATTCATAAGAACAGAGAGGAGCACAGCGGCATGAAGAAAATTTAACACAAAACCAATCACAGTTTATTGAAACGGAGAGAACAGAGCATATCGGAGAGCAATCTGTCGGCTTTGTACAACTCTGCTTAACCATGCTACGCGTTCACGCGCGCGTCATCTCACTGAATTTTTTGAACTCAGATTGGTGTAAAACGAACAACGATTTTGCACTGCCCAGCCACTCTCCACCTCAATGGAGTGTCACACTTGTTTAATCTACTAGCTTTTTATGGCGAGCGCTAAGGCAGGATTATATAGGTAAAGTGGGCAATAATAATTAATAAGTTGTAAAAAAATATATAACCCCTTCGTACATGTGTTGCGTGTCCCTGGTACACCACGCACGCGCCGTCTTATTTCCATTCCATTTCTTTTGTGAATTCCTGTTCTCTGCAATTTAAAACAACTAACGCACTTACCCTACACGACTCTAAAAATATTGAGCACATTCGAATAATTCTTTGAAACTATGATTACCTTGATCTTTTCTTTACGGTATTTTTGGGACAATATTATAATAATTATTTTCACACTCGTATCCAATATTTTTAAGTAGCGTAAGCATTATTCATTATTATTGTAAATATATGCATAAATAATTTAAGTAGGTACTTACTAAAATATGTATTATTATTAAGATAAGATTGAAGTTAATCATTGTCCACGCTGTCTCTTCCTGTGTTCTCTCCTACAGAAATGATTGTCTATCTATCGCTTTATCGAGTGATTTCAAACTTTCAAAACGTATTTATCGTTTATTTAATCTAATTAGTGTTAGAATTTTGTAAAATTGTACTTATATTTAATTAATAACGGTATTTATCTAGAATTGTCGTTTTTCTAGGACGAATGGTGTGAGCTGTGTTTTATTTTGTGTAGTCTATTTTACTTACTTTCTTTTAAGAATAGAAGTATTTTGAAACATTCCATATAATGGCTAATAAATTAATGAATGAGATGAGATTTACATTTTAAGTGTCAACCTTTGGAATCTGCTCGTGAGCTTTTTTTATTTGATATTCTATTGTTTTAAAATTTAAAACTACGAAATGCAGCAGGCGTCATTGAGTTCTTAGTGATGCGCATTGTATGACAAACTCTTATTTTAGTCTCGTAGAAATAAAAATAAACTAAATTTTGTTCTTGAAGGTACTTCAGTAGGTATAAGTGATATTATGGGAAAAATCATACTACCCATGTAACTACTTGCAGAACCACAAAAGTTTATATTTTCTGATATTCTGCCTTATGGAACTAAACTATAAGACATCGCTATAATGGCTTATCTGAAGTGTTCTAAATGTCGCCAATTTTTTAAGTTTGACCTACAATCAAACTAGCGCCGCCTAGTGGGAGCAATGGCGGATATATCTGTCATATATTAAGAAGCCCGCGCCACAAACAGTTATTGCAGCTCTAAGACCTCACGGCCAATCAATTAAGTTTTTAACCGACTTCGAAATTCAAAAGGAGGTTATATGTTCGACGGCGATGTGTTTTTTTTTTTGTTTGAGCTAGCAATTAAACCATCATTGTCACCGCACCTTGTTGCTCATCTAAAATGGTACAAACTATTTTTAAAGTCGAAAGTGCTGAGTGTACATGATTAGTACAAGCCAAGATATAGTAACCAACGGTAGATACTCCATTTGATTCGATAAATAAACAAAATTGCGAACAAATTATGAGAATACTAATGTGCCATTGACGAGGCAAACATATACAGTGTAAATCACAGCCAAGTATATTAATACGTGTGTTTCAATAGTTATTATATTTTTGTAAATATTTTAAGCTATTCGGTAACTATTGCGGTAGCCGCAGTCTTTCTTAGTAACTTTTCTAATCAACGGTAATCTAAAAAAAAACAATGGGATAATATTTTCATTGAGTGTGGCAAACAACCTCATTATTTTATCCCAAAGATGAATTTTGTTTAGATATATCAAAGTAACTAATTATAATGGATCAATATTAGGCCTATTCAAATTTGGTACTATAGAAAAATATATAAGTAGGTATATGTTATATATGAGACAGACATAAAATTGTAACGCGATGACGTTACCTATACTTATAATCATCGACATTTTTATATTAAATGTACAGTCAGCAAAATATCAAATGTCTAGTTATCACGGTAGATACAGCTTGTTGAAAGACAGGCGAACTGTGGAGTCTTAATAATAGGGTACCGTTCTTAATGTTCTTCTCTTTAGGGTAAACCCGAAAAAGGATGCCAAGATCATCACATTCATTGTTTAGATCATTAATGTAACTTTGCTTGTTTAGATGAAATCATGTATGTACTTGGCACCTCGTAGTTTTCAAACGTATATTGAGATTTCCAACGTCTCTCTGCTTGAAGTATTACCGAATGGCTACGAGGTATCTGTTGGCAAACTAAATCGATCAAATTACACAATTTAATGAATAATTACACTGAACTCAAGGAGTCACTTAATCAGTAATTGATAAACAACTTTTGTAATTTAATTCCCAACAGATATCTCGGTAATAAGTACTTATATAGTACACACTCGTATACATTTTGTGAGAATGTTTTAGTGCAGTAAGTAATGCCGGTAGTATTGAACGAATTGTCCAAATTGTATGAGAGTATAATATAAATAAATATATTGTGATAATTATAAGCTATTTTATTAAAATTTCCTATATTTATATTGTCACTTCCAAAAAATAAAATTGGAAATAAAAATCCCTTTTGTTTTCGATACGATGATCTGAACTTATGAGACCACATCAGATTATTTGCAATATATATTGTCAAAAATTCATATAGTATAAGAGTTGCAAACTCGAAAAAAATTAAAACACAACAGCCTATACTCCCCAGGAAATTAACAATGTCAGATAATGTAACATAAAATACTTAAGCACAACTGAAACTCAAAATAAAACACACGAAATAATATATTATTGTATTTTATTAGTTTTCAAATTACCTACGCATACAAAAGGAGGTACATTGCTTTGTGTAGAACCTTGCATTAGGCTTAATCTCGATACATTTAATATACAAATCCAGGAATAATTTAAATTATCTCTGTATACTATCAAGAATATACTGTGCATTAAGATATTTAAATAAATATAAATGTAAAATTACACCGAATTACGAATACAATTTGGTTAAAATACAAATAACAATCATATACATATTATAAATGAAAAGTCACAAACTTTACAAATCACGCGGATACAGCAATAAAAAAAACTTCTGTCAAGTCATAAGATTTGTTCTAAAAATATTTATTCTAACTAAAACGTAAAGATATAAAAAAAAGTATTATCACAACGCAATATACTACCGTAACCCTAATATGAAAATTAATATTTGCACAACGCCATCTTGCGATTCATGAGGAATTAGATTTTCAGTTGAAAGTTTGATATTTGTGCTCGCCAGAAGTTCGATTCTATTGGTATCGTTAGCAGGATTAAAAAATATATATCAAAGGATTGTTGTTACAAAACCTCGTTACATAAGTGACATTTTACCGTTGAAAATATAATAATATAGCCATTTTGTCGTAGGAAAATGCTACTTGGCTTGCTTTACTACTTTTTTCACGAAAATTATAATAAAACTAACTCAGTTATTTATTTAGACTGATCATAATAAAAATTTATAGCACATCGGTTATTTCGTATCTGTTGATATGGATTTTATAATTTCTCATTCATGATTCAACGACACATCGTCTATCTAAAAATTGAAAATGCCACTTTTACAATAATGTTTAAAAAACATCGAAGATTTCACACTGTACAACACTGCGTGCTAATAATAAAATAACAACGCGTGTAATATAAAATAATTTCCAACTAAAGCTCGTATTTTTGGTGTTGTATTCGTGCTGTTGAATAAATTTAAAACGTAACACTATGAAGTAAAGTATAAAATCGCAACACTCGATTTACTCGTTAATTATATAAAAAATTGTCGGTAAAATTTAATAAATTTGTCAATATGATTAAAAAAGAACAATCAAGAAGTAAAAACCGATAATAGATACATTTAGCAGAACATTTTAACGCATGTTAACAAAAGTGAACAAGCGAAGTGAATTTTGGAGGTAATATACATCTAATTGTGGTATATTTAATAATATTATTCTACTTTTCGAGATAGCATACAGAAACTTACAATTTC